AAAAGGGAGGGAAGGAGTTGGACTACGATCCCTAACCGATGGCGAATACGTGTTCGCCTTCGAGGCCAAATTTCGCTGAAAAACTCCATCGTACGTCAACTCAGTATTATCCTTTTCAGAACTTGAATTCTGTGACTTCCAAATGCGTCTAGCAGAGTTTCGTCTCACCTCTGCAAACGCGATCCCTCTGAGCAACATTTGACTCGAAATGATCGTAAACAATCACCTCAAAGAATATTTTCCACTACACATACGTCTATCCCTCAACATAAAAGGGATTTTTTGTCACTGATATCGATGTGTTTCTTTTATTTACTTTTTTCTTTTTTACAACGAACGAGTTATAACGAAAAATTAAAAGGTTAAATTGAAAGCTAAAAAAGAATGAAATTTTTTGAACAAAGATTTCGTCACTGATGGTGCAAAAAATCCTCAGGTTATAGCTTATTTCTGAATAGTGCACTAGGTTAAAAAATGATAAATTTTTTATGTCCTTGGGAAGGTTAAACAATCTTAATTATCCTGTCACGAGAAAAGATGTATCCTTTCTGGTGGTTCGAAAGAAACTGTGAGGCTTCTGGATTATCAAGAACTGCTTAACTTTCACTTCTTTCTTATGGTGTGAGAAAGAAACGTCACAAAATAAAAGAAACACAAATTTCGTAAAGGTTTGTGTGCATCCGTCAAGTTGAAACTAACTTCTGAACACCTTTTGATTCCTCCGAACGAGACTACCTTTTCCGTATCTCTTATCACTTCACATAAAACTGATAACTGTACAGTCACGTTTAAAAATATACAAATTTTTGAACATCTGTCGTCACGAAAGTTATGACCAAACTTACCTTACATTTGCAAAATTTAAAATAATAATGCTTACATAAACATAAAATCCTGGTGGTAAATTGTTGTAAAAATACAATTAAATTTTAAAATAGATTAAAATTGATAAATCCAATTACTTAAAATAAAAGCTCAAAGAAATTGAGGGAAAAATTTATTAAAATTTTTAAACAACAAAATTGTACTCAATTATACAAAAAAAGAAGTTACAGACTACTAGGAATAAAATATAATTCCATCTAACAAAATTGAAAATAAATCCAATATGTAATGAAATGAATTTTTAGCTAACTTTAACAGTAAAACTTATATAAAGCTAACTTATTATAATTTTTTTTTTTATTTTTCTTTAAGAGACTATACCATTCTAATTATCTATATCCTGATTAAAATAACAGTTGAATGATATGGTGCAACAGTTCTGTTAATCTTTCAGTGGTTAGCGTTACCTCCCATTGTTCACTAACTGTACTTTTTGTACAGTTACTTTCTTATACACTTAACGGTGAGAAAAAATTTTATTTACCAAGTACACGTAGCTATAATTTCTATCTAATAACATATTGGTTTGGTTAAGAATTTATTGTTACTAAATTTATTACATGGCTATCCTAAATTTTTATGAATAATCATAATGTAAATGACATATATTCTGTTTAAAATATTGTGACGATGAACACAAAAGCACATAGTAAAAGAATTAATTATTGAAACATCTCTTTGTAAAAAATATACTTGCTTATTTAAAACAAGTTTGTTAAAATTACATTCTCTGGTTTTTTAATTAATTTATTATAAGAATGGATTAAACAATTTAAAGCTATTTAATGCTGTTCAAAACTTACCGTGACGTAGTATAGGGTTTTTGGTTTCCACTAGGGAAACCACGATGATCACCAAAAGAAGATAATACACAAATTCTGTAACATTAAACAAATTATATGGTTATTTCACAATTACATTCATTTTAACAATCCACGTTAAGACATAATATAAAGTTATTAACCAGTATTTTTGTTACAAATTTAAAAAAATTATAAACTACTTAACATTATGGAAAAGATTACTTCATAAACTAATAATAATGACCGTGCAAAAAATAAAATATCATGCAAAAAGGTTATTCAAGAATAAAATCTGTTTGAAAATTTGTTAGATCTGTATCTTAATATCTGAAGTATGATCCTTAGATATATATGATTAGATATACATACAAATGATAACATTTTTAATTATAAAACTCAAAATAATCTGATTTTAACTATTGACATTTATATTACAAAAGTAATTAAATAATTCATATCAAATTAAAATTAGCTGATATATACAATGGTTTTTCATGAAAACTTATTTATGTACATTTAAAAAAACACATGTAAATATTATTTAAACAATTTACTATAAATATACTAAGTTAATGTTACACCTTATTCCTAAAGTATCTAATAATATAACAAAAAGTATAATAACATTATTTCAATTACTTTTTTCAGTAATTATGTACTGATACATTTAAAAATATAACTGAAACTAAGCAACCAACAAGTTAAATTTAAATGGTTTACATTCAAAAATATACAAAATATTATTCAACATGAATCTATTTACTTTTTTAATAAATTCTGTAAGTGAATCATATAATTTATAGTTGTATAAAATCAAATTTAATAAATTTATTTTTGAAAAAGGATAACCTAATGAAGGTTACAATTATCGCTCGATCTCTAACATACAATTTTAAATAAGAGAATCAGAATATCTCAATAATTCAAAGAACTTTGAGAAATGACAACAAATTCTCTTAATCATTAAACAGTTTGTTATATTCATTGTTTCTTAGGAAAATGAAATTCGAGGACAATATATCGATTGAGTTGTCCGCAGTAACCTTTTACAACGAGGTTAAAAACAATGATCACAGTCGTCCCAATGAATTCCATTTATCACTATTTTTGTTTATTTCTAATAAATTTTCATTGAAGAAATAGTAAAGAAGAAGAAGAGGAACTCGCTAAAAAAATTAAGAAAATATAAAGAAAAACAGAAGCCTCACCTGTCTTTCTGACATTTTCTGCTTGCGTCACATAATTGCTAGTTTCTTGGATTTATCATGCCTTTTTATAAAATCTTTTTCACATTTGTCGCGATAAAGCGAGCGAAAAATTTCTATAAAGAACTATTTTCCGAACAAAATTCGGCCGTTCATGACGGCCCGAAGCTGTCCGGAGCTACGAGGACGAGCATATACCGGGTAGTAAAATTTACTTGAATTTAGAATAGGACGGGTTATTGAAACGCTGTCTACAATCACGGATAGACTTTTCGCGCATTTTCTTTTACAATAGTAAATTTTCCCTTTGTAGTTAAAGTTTTTTACAAGATAAGACGAAAGATAACGATGTGAATTATATAATTCAACTATCCAGAATTTAAATTAATATGTTTTGAAAAGGTTTCTGCATGTTTCATTTTTATTAGTTTGAATTTATAGTTTGTTATCATTTCTAAATATTATTTCTCATTGCATTAATTATTTGTTTTAGTAATTTTATTAATGAAGCAAAAGAGATAAGTTAACGCGTAATCTTTATTACTTAATAGTTATATTTAGAAAAAAAACTGTTACTGTATACTTATGTAATTATTCTCAAAATTTATTTTTTGCAATAATAGTATAATTTAAAATACAATTTTTATAAAGTACCGTAGAAATGCTTGTGATAATCGTGATTACATTATTAAATTTCTGATTGCAGTAAGTTAAAATCTTCAATGATCTATGTAAAAGGATACAGCATACTTGTTCACATTATTTTAATTTATTTTTTAAAAAGAATATCTTAGAATAAGCTAATGAATATTGATATAAAAATATTGATTTCATTTGTAGAATTACAATTATATTCAAACCATATCTTTTATTATAATTTTAAAACATTATTTAATTATACGAGTGTTTAGTAACGCTACAATCTATATTAAATTTTAATAAAACTCATACAGCATGATTTCTGAATTCATATAAAAGTATTATACAGTAATTACAAATTAATTTTTAGAAACTTTTATTGTGAAATGTTCGATTTAACTTAAAAAGTACTAGACCAAAATTCAATATTTTGTACAAGTACCTACACTGACGATGAGTCCCATCGAAGTTGTCGCAGTGAAGTTGGCTATACATTCACTAACACATTCACACCGCGTCGTCGGCACCTCGCCCATCGGCTCACCGACGCGGCGTGAATGTGTTAGTGCGCCAACTTCACTGCGACAACTTCGATGGAACTCAGAGTATGTATGTACATACATACATACATACATACATGTCATTTAAAATTTTACCAATAATCATATGTACATTCCACTTTTTTATTCTCATTATTTTTTATTACATTAGCACTAATTGTTGTATACTAATGTCAAAGATTTAAACAAAATGACATCATCACTAATTGAAAATTCTATACTAATGACATAAAAAAAAAATAGAATATAAAAAAGAAATGAAGAAAAAAACCTCTAGGTAGATATTCTGGTAACTTGATGAATTAAAATATTTTTCTAGGAAATATTGGAATTTCATTTTAATATTTTATATTAAAATACAATTAACAGTAATTTCGGTTATGTTCATTTCATCGATATAATATAAATACACTATAAATATATTGAAAAACTAGTAAAAATTACTGTTTATTTATCTCCGAAATGTTGGTAAGCCGTCTATCGATTCTCCCCACGTACACACCTCCTCTTCAGTCATCGATTGCACTTTTTGCACCTACCATTTTTTTTCCAGAGTAATGAGAGCCTCATCTCAAATCAGTAGCACGAGAGTGCACTAAAACAGGCCACCCTCACCTGCGAAACCACCCTCACCCTCTTCGTCTCAATGAATCTTCCATATTTAATATCTTTCGAAAATTTTTAAAGTGTCTCTTACAAGAAAGAAAGACAGAGAAAGATAAATTCGAAGTCAAAGTGTGTGACGAGGAAAGAACAACGCTGCCATCCGTAAGAAAGAAAAAGAGGAAAAAAGATAGAAGTAGAAGAAGGTGACAGTAAGAAAGAGACGGATAGAGGGTGGGTGGTGGGGGGCTCTCGGCTTAAGTGAGAGGGAGAGAGAGGAGGTTAAAGGGAGTCGAGCGAGGAGAATGACGGATAGCCAGCAGCAGTTTTGCTTGCGTTGGAACAACTTTCAAGCTAATATCACCAGCCAATTCGAGGCTCTCAGAGATGACGAGGATTTCGTCGATGTCACCTTTGCCTGCGATGGCAGGCGTCTCCAGGCGCACAAGGTTGTCCTCTCCGCGTGCAGCCCTTACTTCAAGGAGTTGTTCAAGGTTAGAAAACCTTCCCCGTCTTCACTCCTCGGTGCTAGTTGCTCGATGTCTCCCCCCCTCCCTTCCCCTTAACCGATCATTTTTACTTTCTTTAAGTATCATGCTTTGAGTTAAAATTTTTATACAAAATCTTTATGCACATGTCGTGGCAATGTATTGTAATGCTTTTATACATTCTACTATATGCTTTACATAGGAATCCTTTTTGTTATTTATTTATTAGGAATTAAAGCTTACTTGAACTGACTTGAATATGAGGAATTTTATGTAATTGTAATGTAAATTTGATTGTAATTAATATCTTGCTTAGTTGTTTATATATATAGATTATGGTAATCTGGTAAATATAGCTCTAAAATATAAAATACAGAAATTTTCCTAGGAACATAATTTTTCATTGACGAACAATATGTAATGTTTAATTATATAACTGTATTGGTAGTATTTATGGAATTTGCCTTTTTTCAGAATCAATTATAAGATTAGAAAATTTATGATGAAGCAAAAATTTCATAGTACAATAAGAAACGAGAAGTTATGTTTTATTATCTTCTTTGTACATGTTGTTATAGCTTTAGCTGTATTGAGCTTTAATAATAATTGCTTCATTTTAGTTTTTAATTCACAGATAGTTTATAAATTAGTTTTTTAATTTTAAGAAGTTATCGTATATACTATGTACACATAAATACATGTTTATGTTATACGTATATATATATATTCCATGTATCTTATTGATTCATATGAAATGATCAGATCAGGATCAAATCATCAGACTTTTGTATTCATTGAAAAATTTTTAATTTGGATAAATAAGGTCAATATAATTGTATTTTCTCTTAAGTGGAAATGATATGAGTTAAAACATCTTTCACGTGAAAAAAAGATTAAATCTAATAAGTTTAGCACCCTATGTAAAGCATGTCCAATTGGGATAACATTATAAAATTTTCACAAAAATATGTACGTAAAGAATTATATATCAATGCTTTAAGATATAAGTAACATGTCCCTAACATTGAATCTATTTACCTTGAACTTTACTGTTTAAGAATAATGACTAGCTTATTTAAAGATAGCAAATATGCTTTGTGTTTTGATTTTCATAGACTTATTCATCAATAAATGTTCTAAAAATTTTAATTTTTGTGAGAAATAAGATTTTCTTACTGTTTATCATCATAAATTATATAATAGATTCAGATTATTTTTATTCTATATTTTTAAGAAGTAAATTAAAAATTCGAATTGTGTAAGTATTTATATATTAATATTTATTTTTAACTATATTATGATTGTATGTTTACCTTTAATAATAAATTTAACAATTTAGCAATTAATGTCAATATAAGGCTAATACATTCTTTTATAAAATTCTTGTTTGATATTTTGATAATAAATAACCCATTGATTTCAATTTATATCTTAATCATTTTATTATTTTCTTTTTATAATTGCTTTATATTAGAATTATACAGAGTTAAAGTAAGTGATATTTATGTTAAATAAATGAAATAATATTAAATAAGTATGAAACATAATTCCAACTTATACTTACAGACAAATCCATGCAAGCATCCGATAATATTTATGCGTGATGTGGAATTCGAACATCTACAGTCGCTCTTGGAATTTATGTATGCTGGGGAGGTTAACATATCTCAAGCAGAATTACCTACATTTCTACGAACTGCTGAGTCTCTGCAAATCCGTGGCCTCACCGACTCTCAAAGTAATCAGCACAACAGCGAAAAGGTTCGTAATTGAATTGTATATGTAATATATTATTTTACTATTTTTCTCTTCATTCAATTGAATTATTATAAAAACATACTTCGCTCTCAGCATTTGAAAACAAACAACATACACGCATCAAACGGCCGTGGGCTGATCTCACCAAATTTGGAGGAGGACCGTAGCAAAACACCACCAGCCTCAAGTCCTCCACCATTAAAAAGGCTGTGCAAACGAAGTGATTCGCCTCAGATATCTAGTCCAGTACCAACTGCGGCGACCTGTGCAACTGGAACGCCACGCACACGGCCATTAATTGAGCCACAGGTTCAACTTGACTGCTATAAAGATCTCGATATTGTTGAGGTTAGTTTATTTCATAGAAGATAAGGTTTTGGTCATTCGTAGAGAAATATATGTATACTCTGTGATGCTAGAAGTTTATATGAACTTTTTCAACTATAATAAATGAATAATATGTATTTCATAAACAGAATTATCATATAGTTTTCATATTTTAGCCAAAAATAGAATTACCAGAATATGGAAGCGATGATGATTGTTCTCCAAAGCAGGAGGTTAATGCACTGCCAAGTGGTTTTCTTAGCCTTGATGGTGGCATGGAAGTTTTACCATCGTACCCTCCTTCTTACCAGGGTAATTACAAATAAAATTAAATATTTCATTTCCAACGTATTTTAAATAATTAGTGTAAATTGAATGTGCATCGCTTTTATGAACAGACATATTAATACGAATTAAGAAGTACATTGTATAAAATACAATAAGATTTATATCTTTCTAGGAGGAGGAGCTGGTGGTGGCGGAGGAGGTGGTGGCGGCGGGGGTAGTGGACCATTAGAAGGTGGAATGCCAGGACCATCTCATGCCGGCAGTACAGAACTAAACCAAGAGCAACAAGGTAAGTAATTGTCCGTCCCTATCCTAATTCTTTGGTAGTTGCGAGCACCATTACAAACAGCAACAACCTAGCCGATCATGTCGGAGAGAATTTTTTGGATGCGAATATAAAGACGGAAGGAGAAGGGGAACTTCGGTTTGAAATGGTAAGCTCGTGTAGCTCGGTAGCTCTTGCTAGGCGGTAGGAGAGAAAGGGAAAGAAAGAAGTAGAGAGAATGCGCGTATGTGTGTGAAAAAATATGAAAAAAAGACAGGGGAGAGAGGAAGAGAAAAAAAGAAAAAGAAGAGACATTTGACACTCGGAGGCGATCTGATAATTTCATCCAGGCGGAGTGCAGTTTGCGGCTGTTGTGTGAGAAAGTCAGCTGCGTGTGCATATTCGGGCTCTCTACCTGTCCATTTTGTTTGCCAGAATTGGAGGTGATACTGTAAGCTTATACTAAATTTTTTTCATTGATAATTAAATTTAATGTATGTAAAAGATACTTGTGTCAAGTAATAGTTACATAGAGAAAATATTACACATTTTTGATTATATTAACTTCATAAATTATGATTCATTTTCATCGTTAAACGTTTATGTATTAATACAAAATTTTTATAAGTTTAGTGTATATTTAAAAGTAATATCTTAAAAATATTGAGAAGGTAAGAAATAAATAGTTTAAATGTCGAAGAGAAATAAATCCCTCCGTCTGGCAAAATTGCCTGCCCGTTGCTTCCACGTTTTCCGTTTTTGTCCTGTAGAAGCCACGCCAATTGGAGGCTATTACATAATTTCTTAATTTTTTGAAAAACATTTTTGTTTCAAATTTGTATGAATTTTATTTATATTTTTATTTATTTTAATATAAATCATATCTTTCTTTAATTGTGACATTTTAATTATTTAAAAATTTATATTTTATCTGATTGGCGTTGTTTTTTCTGTGTATTCATGTTTATCCTATGGCAGAACACCCTAACTTGACATACATAGCAGAGCAATTGCTTGATGCTAAATTTTGTTGTAAGCTTTTTGGTTAAGGTTAGTGTTTAATTATGGTGTTGTAATTAAAAAAAAAAATTAATGTCTTTGGCTTCACTAATCATATTCTACGCATTAAATTATTAAATGTGCATTGCTACCAAATTCTAAATCCAGAGACTTAAATTGTTTTAATTTCAAAACAATATGAGTTTTTAATTCTTAAAAATACTGTTTTAAACATAATATTTTAAAATATATTCTTATTTTATCATTTTCATTATAGTTTTATAATTTAAATTTGATTTTTTATTATCAATTTAAAGTATAATTATAATTATTATCCATATAATTATAACATAAATATATAGAAAAAGTTATAAAGAAACGGTCTCTCTGTGATTCTTTCTTATTATGACTTTAACAATGGTAATAATAGGTTTTGAAATTTTTGAAATAAATGAAATTGTACATGTCAAGGAAAGTTTTTAAACATAAAGGGTGTTGTTGTCAAGAAACAACTGTAGAATAATCTCGGAGGATGCAGCGCGAACTCTCACGCCTCATGTTCCCAATAACACACGCTTACCATTTGTCTCCGATGTGTGTGCGTTGGTAACGCGCAATATCATGGTGCGCACGACAGATAGTAGTGGGATCTAATAATATTATTTCTGAAATTTTTGTAAAACACAAGAAATGAACTCGGAAACTTTTGCACTGAAAAATTGTGAGAAGTTTTCTTTATTATTATGTTATTTAAAATTATGAAAAATCTTAATTTATTTTACCTTTAAAGTATTCATGGAAATTATAAGTTCAATTATTAATAAATAAAAGTAAGTAAGATATTATTCATTTAAATTATGAATAATTAAATGTTAAAATAAGATATTGGCTTTTTTGTTCCTAACGCTTGTTTCTATAAAAGTGTTTTAAAATATGTAAAGTATAATGTAACTTATTTATACTTTTTTTAAACATGTTTTATTATAACAATTTTATATTTAAAATAAAATAATTTATTATTGTTTATTGTTCATGTAAGTAAGGAAGCTAAATTATAGAGAAAAGCATAAATTATAAAATATATTTATAAATGTATGTGTTTAATATCAACAGTTAAAAAAAAAATAGTTGAGAAGTTGACATTTTACAATTAAGAACTTGTGAAACATGCAATAAATTTATTAATTTACACAAGATGTTTAAAGTGATCCCATTACTAAATTAGGCAGAGTATATAGTGGTCGTGCGGCTAGGGTTTCTCAGCTGGTTGTTGCTGTCCGGTGGTGGCTGGCAAATCGGAGACCCCACCCATAAATCCATTCAAAAAAACAAAAGATTAACTTCCTTCTCCGTGCTGCCTCTACCGGGTTAGAGCAAGTTGTGTGTGTGTTGCAGCTGACCTACGCAAACTGCACTCGTTGGACCCACGCCCTTGTCCTGTCTGCAACCGCATGTACAGTAACTTGTCGAACCTGCGTCAGCACATGCGCCTGATCCACAACCCTCAGAGTGTCACATGCCCCCTCTGTAACAAGCCATTCAAGACCAAGCTCTACCTGAAGCGCCACCTGGTCAGCTTCCACGAGCTCAGCTTGGCAGACAGGCATCGTCAAGAAGAGATCTATCAACAACCAAAAGCACAACAACAGAGTGGAGCTCAAACACATCTACAAATCCAGGCACAACAAACTGATGCTGTCAAATCCTTTTCTACGCCGAGAGTCCCAATTGAAGAGAGCACAGGATCAGTGACTCTGGAGAACAAGTCAAGAGCATTCCAAGATGGTGCTTACGAGGTTAATCAGACCAATGTTGAATCAAAGCACTTTCAAAGCAGCATGATGCAATTTGATACTGCATACCACTAACGCGCCTTAGTTTCTTCGGCCCATATGTGACAGTTTTTTGGTTGAGTAGACTTAATGCCAGTTTCTGGCAGTTGTAAACTGCAACTGAAGTTGAACGTGGTCTTTCAAAGAAAAACTTACATGCAGTGGAGAGATTAAAGGTTTGTGCTGTGATGGAGGAAGTTCAAAATTTTATGAAATTTAACAATTTTTTACAGTATTTCATACTTACAACCATTTTTAACATCATAATTTTTAATATTGACAAAATTGTTAATTTTATTTTAACCATATATAAAAGTATGTTCTTATTCCTTTAAGCAAATGTTACATGGAAGCTTATTTTAATCAAAATTTAGGAAAACAAATATCATTTTATGAAATAATTGCAGAAGATTGTTTTGGTATATGCTTCTTAATAGGATTCAAGTTACTATTATAAGTAAAATAACTATGATAATATTTTTGGTATAAAATATGAAATACTAATATTTATTTTACATGGTACGATTTAGTTTAAAAATTTTAATTTTAATGAGTCTAGTTTAATGTAATGAAAAATAGTATTTTCTTTTATTAAATAACTAATTTTTTATAAGAAGTATTTAATAACTTTTTATAAAAAATTATACTCTTAGTTTATCAAGAAACGAAGATTGGTGACTCATTTTAATAGTAAAATTGAAAACTTATTCTAAATACTTTTGATAAAATAATATTTGAAAGTTTAATTTAAAACTCCACACAGCAAATTTGCTGTAATATAGTAATCTCTTCACAGCATATTACAGTAACTGATGAAACAGTAGTCCTTAAAGGACATTTCGCAAAAGGTGCCGTGCCTATTCGTCGTAAGGAAAAGCGAGAGTATCCTTAAACAGAAAGAAAGATAAAGAAAAAATGAGAAAGAAACCACAGAATCGCCGCAAGTGGAGCAGCCATCCCACCTCGTACTGATTATTCCGCGAGCCAGGATAACTTGTTGTTTTATTTGATGCTATACAGTGTTATACAGACTACAGATATTTACAACGATATTATATTCTTACAGAGGATTATATTTACTTTATTGATTACGTCACACGTCTGGGTGACACGCACAGAAACTCCCAGAATGACGTACAAACATATTATATTTTTCACCGCGTAGCAGTTTAACGGTGCAATAGACAGCCAACCGATTTTACAGCTCAAGCAGATTTACAGAGAATTTATTATTGACAGTTATCGATGGGAAACCGTCGTGATGCAGCAGATTGAATTTAATATATTATAAGAGGCTCGTGTCTGAGGTGGCTTTTCTTATAAATTTTCTTACACGCTCTAATGTGATATTATAGAGCTGAATTGATCACTTTTTTTTTTCATTTATTTAGCGAGATAAATTTAATCATTCCTTTGATGAACTTCAATATTTCTAGCAATCATTCTGCATTTTAATGTTACTGTAAAAGTATTATGTTTCTTTCTTTGTTTCCACTATTGGTTTTTAAATTTTAATATTAGTTAATTGTTTTTTAAAGTATTATTAGACTTTTTCTTCAAAAATTAATGCAAACAGTATTATTATTGTGGAATTTTTTATGCCAAACATTTATTTTGGTTTAAACTAGTATGAATGTCCTTTTATATGTATATGTGAGTGAATGTCTATTGGTAGGTTGAATAGGTGTAAATTTTGTCTGAATATTTGGGGTGCAACTGACAGTATGGATGGCGCCACTGTATCTTTGCTTGTTTCTACATCTTGTTCATTTCCTAAGCCCATCATTTTATTTGCATATTTTGTCTTGCCATTGTAATCACTAGATTTTATTTCTATAATGTGTGTTTGTAACATGATTGAATGATGGCTGTAAGTGTAATGCACACCATCTTCCTGATGTTGCCTTGTCTATTAGTGTTTTCTACTGTCTTTTGCTGCTGTGTAAATGTTGCACTTTCTGTATTTATTTGTCCTTAATATGTTATGCCTTATCATGTGTTTTCTGAAGCTTTTTTGTGTTTAATAACTTATCTCGAATCGCTATTATAAATTCTTCTGTTTCGGGGTACACAAAACTTTGTTTGGTCAGTTGTAAGTTATGTATATTTGATGCACATTTGTTTTATATTATATTTAATATGTTTCTCCATAGTACTCTTGCTGACCATGAGTTGATGAGTTTTGAATATTGT